TGGTCAGAATAGGATGAGCGTATTTGTGTTAATACCTGTTTTACAGATCAGCCGGTTATTAAATGATTTTTTGAGGCGGAAATTTCAAATAATTACTTTGGATAAAGGCATTAAAGAATGGAAAACCTAATTCATTAGGTCTTAGTTAAGTAGCACACACTAAACTGTGTGCTGATTTGCTAAACCTTCGGTTTACCTTTATGACCTCCATTGAAATAGAAAAAACAAAAAATGGCCAGCGTCCATATTTTCTGGTTTCGTCTTTTACAAGAATGACTCTTATACTTTGACTTGACATTACTGCAAAGTTGACAATTTTCTGTTTTGATTTGAAGAAAATGTATGTGGTTGTTGTAATTCCAAAATGCTTCTCAGGAAATCTTTTATCGCTCACAAAAGCTTGTTGAGCTTTCCAGCTCTTGAAGAAAGTTCTGCCTGAGTTGAGCTGCTATTCACGCTGTCAGATAGCTTTGGTCTGTCAGTGCTGTAGCTTGAACACTGTCATTGAAATCTTTTAGAGAATGGAATTCCATTGGAATGTATTATGAAACATTCAAACTTGTCATGGTGTGTCTTGTCTTTGAATGATAAGATCTATTGCTGTGTTGCGGCTGAAATCTTTTGTCCCACTTTCTGCAGTTAAACCAAAGCTGTTAAGGCCTTTTCCCGTCCATCTTAAGTTAAAAATATCAAAGTTTGATTCATAACTATAATCATATTATAACGTGATAGTAGAGAGTTTTCACGAATCTTGATTGTATGTGCACGTTCAGTTTCTGCTTCCTTTAAAAGCCCAGAATGTGGCACATTCTATGGTTTTTACTACCTGCATGCATTTGTAAGTGCTTTCAAAGACTCTTTTCGTCTGAGATTAATTCTGTGCTTAGCCCTTGCAAAAAAGGAGGACCGTTTTGCAAAATTTTCTTTCATAACTATTTAATAAATTATGCGGATTGAGGCAACAGTTTTGTTTGTATGTAGCTAGTGGATTTAGAGCACTGTCATGCTTTGTAGATGACCTTAGTATGATTCTTGTAACTTCCATTATGGAGAATGACTTTATCCTACAAACTTGTTGTCAAGTTGTACTTAAAAAGGTTGACTTAAGTGCAATAGTACATCTTGCATCTTTTGATATACAGAGTTTGTTGTTATTTGATGTTTTTTTTGTCGAATCCTCTTTCACTGTTCCTGTTAGCAGTTGCCTCTTTTCTCAGTATCGGAGCAAAGACAATGAGACCTGCAGAAAAAGAAAAAAAATTGAGAGAAAAAGTCCGGAGACAGTTTTCTCATTCCCCCTCCTCTGCTCCCACAAGTTTTTTATGAAGAATTTGAGAGAAATCTAGAAAAGCGTTTCCCCCGTACACACCTCTGCACTCACCTCCACTCGCACACATCCTTTCTTTCACACATTCTTTATTTGGTTGAAACCTCTTGATTTTACTGATCAGACATACATGAATGAATGCTAAATATATTTATTTTAGCAGACGCTTGTGGGACGTGTCAGAATGTGCAGACTCTAACCGTAAAAACCTCCACAAGAGGACTTCCAACTGCAGACCGTCCTGACATGCAGAGCTAAGCCTGCAAAAGAAAAGTGAAGTTCTCTTCCCATGTAGTCACGTCAGGTATATTTTCATCTGAACAGGTCTCCGTAAGGAAATTATTCAATTTGTACCCCAAAGCCATTAGGACACCATGTGTTACAGTGCAGTTTATCTATCATTTTTAACTACAGAAATTCTTCTAAACAGATCTACGTGTTTGTTGTCAAAATGACCTTCGCTTTAATCTCTTATTTTGTTTAGCTGTAGCAGTGCTTACAGACAACTGATGCATCTTATAATTATATGATTATTAATATTTTGAACTATTGTTGTGCTTTTACTTCTTATTGAAAGGCAGGAATTGTAAAATAATTTCTTTTTTGTATATTTCAGCATTGCAAAAGCCGACTTTTTTGTGCGCATACGAGAACAAATGTACTACTTTCTAGCAATTATATGACAAATATGAATATGCCGTTGTTACACTTTGGCCTATGTCTCCGGTAGTGTAATAACATGAAACTTTTAAGTTCTAAAATACATGGCAAAATATTTGCTCGAAAAACTTATAAAATTATGAGGTAACAAAACAGAAGTCATGGTTACATTAGTTCGTTGTAGGATACATTTGCCCAAACGCATCATGGTTAAAGTAGTACTTACTATGAGGCAGGTTTAATTAGCTTTTTTTCAATAGTGAGTTTTTTTCATAGACACTGGTTGTCTGAATCACTTTATCTGTAATGTATGATAATGATGAGGTTTTCCAGTCATGTAGTCGCACTGTACAAGTGACCTCAGGATTACAATGAGAACCTACACATGCAAACTGACTCTTTTACTCAGACACAGGCGCATGCCTCACTTTGGCAGATACAAACTAAAGGGAAAGTGATATATTTGATTTAGTATGAACTTTTAATTCCATGCCTTTCAAACACTCGTCTATGGAGTATAATTAAAGATTTTAAAACAGTTTAGAAGTGATCCACAAGACTTATCTTTATCAAACATATTTGACAAAAGTCGTTCAGAGGCTCAAGATTTCAAGAAAATGGTTTTCACCAATCAGTTGTGACCGATTTGCAGAGTTCAGTTTTTGTTTAGATCAGCGTGGTCACTGTCCAACATTTCTTTTGAATCAGGCGTGCAAAGCAGGGAAACAACTTTTTTTTTTTTTTTTAAATCTGCAGGTCCGTCCTGCCTGAAGATAATTATTATATGAAAGGCCACTGACATAGTGAGTTTTTGCTCTGCATTATATATCCTGCAAATAGATTTGTCCAAATACAGATTTAGTGAGTAAATTGTTTGTCAAGTATAGTTTCAACAAGAAATAAAAACCACTTCAAATCTGGTTGTTACAGTTGTAAATGGATTTTGAGAGCAGCTCTGATCAGATACATTGTCGCACGCGATTTTGTGACCATAATAATTAAACTATTCACTGCTAACTGTTATTTGCCGGCAACAAAAAAGACACTTTAATTACATGAATGCATTGTTGCGAATATTTGACCATTTACAATTGGCAATATACATTATGTACATTTTAAACTTGATATAAATATGATTGATTAAATATATTTTATTCATACTAGACATGTGAATAATGAAAAATTTAGTCTTATAATAAACTTTTTTCATATATAAAACAAATTTAGAATTATTTATAGTTCACATGAAGTGAATTTTGATGATGCTGGGTTTAAAGGGGTCTAATGTATCATTTGTCTGAATGTGTCATAGATATTTAAGACTGCATCGCCCTTCTTATAAACAAAACTCTGAGATATGATAAGAATCGTAATACGTTTTTAGATAAGATTTTTATCTGTGCTCAATACGTCAAGACCACAACTAAAATGTAAATCAGGGGATCTTTTGAATGCAGGCATGTGAAAATTCAGCAAAAGCTTTACCCACGGTCATATTTTTGCCGTTTACTTTCTGGTTTATTACATTCTTTTTTTCTTTTGTTTTTTGTTTTTGATCTTTTTCTGGAGTGGCATGGTGGTGTGGTGGTTAGCACCATGGGCTCACAGCAACAGGGTTCTGGGTTCAAGTCCCTGGAGGAACCAGGGTCCTTTCCGTGTTGAGTGTCCCTGTCTGCTTGGGTTCCATATTACCCGTAGGAGTGAGTGTGCATGGTTGTTTGTCCTGGCGTGTCTGTGTGATGGACTGTCCAGGGTGTACCCTGTCTATTGACCACTGGGATAGGGTGCACTTACCTGTAACCTCATTAGGGAATAAGCTGTGCCAAGGATGGATAGATCTTCTTCTGGTGCCTTAAACTTCTAAGCCTTGTTACTGCTTGGAGGTCAAAGCACTATTTCATCAATCACTCCGTGCCAAATCTGAATAAATGTGTGTGTGTTAACTTTATGTGTAACTAAAGTTGTTGATGCTGTTCACATACTTATGGACCTTCTTGTTTGTGTGTACCCATGTAAGTAGGCAGAATACTTGATTAGTTTAAAAAGGAAAGCAGTGCAGGTGCTCAGCATGTGTGTGTCGGTGTTTCTGAGTGGATGGGCTATGGTGGGTGGGGCTGCACAGTATTTAGAGGGTTCCCTGAACCTCATCGTTTGTCGCCTTTTTCCTTCCTGTTTCATTCTCTCTAACTTCCTGTCAGCTGACTCAGCCGGAGAATCTTGATCTGGTAAACATCTACATCTGCATCGTCTGCACACACACACAGACACACACGCGTGCACACACACATGTACAGACAAACTAAATATGTGATTCAGTCAGACAAAGATGTATGCGTGTACATCCACACTATGTACAAAGGAGAGCGAATATTGTCACATTACATGCAGTGAGGTCAATCGAAGTCAATCGAACAACTTATTCTAAAACCAGAGAAAAGGCTTTCTGAGGCTTAAAGATTTGTATGTTTCTGTTTTAGCAAATACACGTGTCGTCAAAAGAAATTGGGGGAAAAAGCAAAAAAATTATGCTTTTACAAAGGGATAAAGGTCCATTAAAAAAGAGCCCCAAAAGTAGGCAGAATACAGCAAGGGGAAAATAGAGATTACAAAAAAAAAAAAAGAAAGAGGACAACAAACTTGGGCGTTTGGTGAGAAGGCGAGAGGCAGTGCAAAATAAGGACAGGCAAAGAGACGGAAAGAGATACATAGAGATGGAGGAGGGGGGGCAGAGAGATAAAGATAGCTGAAAGGAGGGAGATCCGTCAGCGTTTGTTTCCTCAGGATGTGGTTACCACGACGACGCAAAGGCAGAGAGGCAACATCACTATCCGCTGGTCCTCTTTGACACCTGCAAGCCTGTGTGAGTGTGAAAGTTAAGTCTGCGTGTGTGTGTGTGTGTGTGTTTGTGTGTGTGTGTGTGTGTGTGTGTAAGGCTTCAATGACTAAATATGCTTTGGTTGGTTTTGTGTGTCCATTTTGCTTTAGGTACTGCGTGACAGACAGTGTGAGAGCGAGAGAGGGACACAAACACACACACAAATAGGAAGGGCCGTGTCGAGATATACTCGAGCAGAAGGAGAGCTGAAGAGTCAGAGAGAATGAAGACAACTAAATGAGCAGAAATAACCAGCAAACATGAACAACAGAAGGAGAACACATGTGAGAAGAAGTTTAAGCGCCAATGACTGGTAAAAAGAAAAACCTCAAAACGAATACAGTATATTTGTCTCTTCATCTCATCTTACTTCACGCTTTCTCTTTCTGACTCATGCATTGTCCTAATTAGAGCAGAGTGTGGTTTCAAGAGAGACAGAAGAATAACCAGGGTAGGTTTAAAGATTGGGTGAATATGTGCATTAATTTCTAAAAATGAATTGCTTTTATTAAGGAAATTAGCATCAAAAAGAGAAAAGACATCTGAAGAAGTGAAACTGGAAAGATGTGTTTATAGAGGAAATAACCATTGCTTTAATCTCTTTCTGCGGCATTGATTCCACTGTTTGTTTAGTAATTAGTCTGCATTGGACATTATTATACATTATAGGTTCTTACTGTGTTAATGTGTGCTCATGTGCTGAAGCATACAATGACAGGGCCAATACTTTAGAGCGGGATTATCCGAATATGGTGCTCAAAGATTTGAAAATTCTTTACAGTATACGATGAATCTTGGACAGAAGGGAACCAACACAGTATCTAACCACTATACATTATAACTAATTTGGACCACTAACAATCACTCCCACAATTAGAGCTTCAAAATGATAATTGTTTTACTATCAGGGCAGCAAAGCTGTTGTACAATCACTGTGCTTCTGTCTTTAAAAATTGGTTCAGGAAACTGTATGTATGAACAGAAATGTTCAAATCAGGGCCTTTAGATGTTGTCACGCTTTGAAAAAATTCTAATATACATATCTGTTTGTCTTATGTCAACATGTATAAAAATGTGATAGTACAGAAATTGAACAATAAGTGTTTAGAAGGAGTTGTGGGAAATAGAAGTTAGATCACTGGCCGTATTTTTACACATCAAGAGTAATTGGGATCAGACAGAAAAAACATAATGTGTAATTAGACATAGAATGCATGATGTACAAGTTTCTGTCACAATGCTTAAAAGCTTCATTGAAAAACATATAATCTCGAACATAATAAACATGTTCTTGTGAGGCTGGGCTAAAATAATAGCTTTGGTCACCAGAAAGCCATGCAAGGGTGTGTCACAGGGACTCATGCTTAGGCCTGCTGGATGTCAGTCATCTCAATCATTTCACCGTGATTCAACGCTAAAGAGACTTTACAGACTGTCTTGCAAATATGGCTTGCTCTGTGTAAACTTGAAATGGCCTCTATGGCAACTGCAACAAACATTCAACACCAGTAAAGCTGCAGGCTGGGTTTGGAATCACTCACCAAGCTACTTTGAAGGCCTTTTTTCAGGCTGTTTCACAAGATTTGGTATAATTTCACCTAGATTTAGTGCTCATTGGAAACGTTTTTTTTAAAGTTTCACGTTAATTCACATTTATGTATATTTCCCAAAAATAATATATATCGAACATGACACAATTTAAAAACAATTTTAAAAAGTGTTGCCAAGTCATCTTCAGACTACTCCAAGTTGAGTTTGTGTGACTTGCCTATTATATGTGCTGTCATATATAATTAAACTTTATTGCAAACTTAATCACATTTTACTTTACTGCAGTATGAGGCAGTAATGACCTATTTGATAGCTGAAGTGAGGTTGTTAAATCTGAACCTTAAACATTTTTCTTGTGTCTCTGTTTCTTGCAGACAGTATAGAAAATCAAACACGCCATCATGGAGGATCGCTCTTCCACACAATCCTTCCCTAATGGCCAGCACCATCGCCATGGCCCGTACTTTACCCTCACCATGCCCAATTTTCAAAGCTCTGAAGTGGCCTCTCAGCCTGCCCAGCACCCTCTGGAGCATTGTGGAAGAGGAAGGGAAGAATCTCCTGCTTCATACTTGACATCAAACACCCCTTCTGGGTCAAGGAGGGGGAGCAGTGGGGGTGACAGAGTCTTCCTAAGTACCAATGCGGTCAGTCTAGATGGGGATGCTAGCTTAGGATGCCATCTTGATGGAGAAAACAGGTTAGGGGGTCATTTTGATGACTCTTGGTATGGCAAAAAAGAATCCTGGGAGGATGGGGGCCATTGCAAAAGCCCCACAGAGGATTTTCAGGGAAAAGGCGATTGCTACAATGACACAAATGATGTTTTTTATGCCATTAACTGTGTCACTGAGGAAGGAGACAGAGCAAAGATCAGAGAAAGCTACAACAATTACACCCATGTCAACTGTGGGGCTAAAAGTGACATAGTTTATAACAAGGAGGCAAACATGAACCACTTTTCAAAACAAACCGTGTCCTACAACAAAAGCAGAACAGGGAATTATAGTGACAAGAGTGTTCATTATTCTAGAGTCAATTCGAGCATAAGTGATCACTTTTTAGGTGGAGAGGAAGATTATGGGTCCAGCTGTGGCTCAGGTGAGGAGCAGCATCAGACAGCAGAAGCTGAGGGATCCTGGCTCAGTGTGTCCCCAACAAGTCAGCCAGATGGGAGGTGGAGAGGAGCAGCGGACACCCACCCGTCGGCCTCAGCTGGCCAACCGCAGAGATCCCCTGTTGGCATCAGCAATAGGACATACACTCAGAAACTGGACTCTTTCTCTGATGCTTTCTTCTCTCAGCGAAAGAGGAGATTTCCCTTTATTCCCAGTGGGGATTCCTCTGCACAAATATGGGAAGGTGGGGTAGGGAGAGGAGAAAACCCCGGACTGATCAAGTCAAGGCAAAGCTGCACTTTTGACTCAGACTCTCACCAGCCTCCCTCCTCCTCCTCTTCTTCCCCTGCTTACCTCTCTCTTCCATCTTTACCCTCCCCTCCCACGTCGTCTAATCTTGTTTCTTCAGTTCTTAGCCCTCCTCCCACACCTTTACCTCCGCCCTCTCACTCACCATCCAAAATGGACTCTCCCGCTATGCAGGGGGGCGTTGGACACTCGTATTCTCAGACAGGAGACGCACTTGCTGGACTACAATTTTTCCCTTCACGTATTCAGTCTTTGCCTTCTGTCCACTCTTCTGGAATGATATGGAAGTTTCCTCCGTTGTCACAGTGCTTCCCACAGCTGCCAGGTGATGCCGGCGGCACAGAATGCAGTCTCAGGTCCTGCAGTGGTAATGACTACGGCACTTTCACAGGTACTATGCTGCATGGGCCTTTCTGTGAATGAAAGCATGGTAGAGGACTAAACCCGAGTGTTGACACATTCTAAAAGAAAAAAATATGTGTAAAACAACTATTTTCCTTTTAAAACAACCACGGGTTTATACCCATATGTAAATTTACGGGACATGTGGGTTTACGTTGGTGTGTTGTTGAAGTTTCCCATTTCCCCCATGCAAATGACAGTTTCACTTTTCACATTTTCACGAGCACAACCACTGACATCTAGAGTGGAGTTTTATATTAGTGTTAATCTACTCTACATGATTTTAGTTGGTTCTACTTAAACACAGTCGTGTCTTCACAAGCTGATGTTGTTGGTCTTTGGTATAACACCATCCTGAGTGTGCAAATAACAATAACGTTTCTGACATTTTGATTTCGAATTCAACCAAAAACATTTGTTTATTCCAATCCTTTTTAATTAATCTTATTTTTAACTTGTGACCATTTTCCAGCCACGTGTGAGATTCCTCAATCACCTGAATTATCCCTCCCCTCCTCTTCATCCCATCACCCATCCATTCACGCATCAAGGACCCTCTGCCCTTCCACTAGTCCATCCTTCAATTCTTCTGTTCATCTTCTGTCTCACCATAACTCTGGCAAGCATTATGCCTACAAACTGACCCAGACAGTAAAGACTGAACCAGCCACAGTGATCCATGCACACCTACAGGTATAGTGTGGAACTTTTTTCAAAGCTGTTGACTATCATTCGACCAAACCCACCTCTCAAATTATTTTACAGAAAAAGCTGTCCAATTTATATAAAATTCAGGATAATGCAGTTGTTATCTTGAAAGACCAAATTTCAGAACAAAGATTGCAAAAATGTGCTGCTTACCTCGTTAGTTTTATAATAGGTTAATTATATAATAATGCAGTCTGAAAAGCTGAACAGAGTGATGATGGTTAGATTGGTTATAAACTGAAAATGTAAATTTAGTTCCAATTTCTTCTTGTAGAATTGCACAGACATAAAATATGATTTTCTGACGATCATATTCCAAAGCAGCAGGCAGTCACCACAGCTGTTGAAGCTCTACAGACACAGTGGGCGGATGCCTAAATGGCTGCTTGTCAAGAAATTACGTTTGCTTCAACTGTAAGACGGCTTCTAAAACCACAATCTTAATCTGGGTTTTATTTTTAGACATGTTTAACTGAAAAAGAGAATAAATAAGACAGACTTTGAGTAGGTGAGAGGCAATGGAAGGATGTTGCTCCTGTATGTATCGCAGGATTATTTCTGTTCATATGGCATAGAAATGACTTATCTTCATCCCATCATTCCTCATTTAACTGATTGTGCAGATTGTTTTAAAATAGTTTCCTGTGACCCACCAATTAATTGAGCTGTTAGGTCTTGTTTGCTCAACGTTCATCTTATTCACCATTTTCTTTGTCGTCCAACAAGTAAAAAAGTCTCAAATCTGTTGTTCTTGCAGCAACACGCCACTCCAGTGTATTCCGGAACACCATTTCCCAGTATCCTCCACTCTAAAAGAGCCCAAAATAGAGGCTCCTACACTCCTCGGCCTCTCCTCAATCCACTCCGCAAGGGGACAGGGCTGTACTCCTCCCTTTCAACGCTCCATCACTGCAAGGAGGAACCAGCATGGTTAGAGGAGGATGAGGAGTGTGACGGGGTCCCGTAAGTAAAATACTGACCTCCAGAAAAAGCTTGCGGTCACTTCTGAGTTACTGTCTGGTTGGTGTTGACTGATGATTAATGCCAATGTACTGGTCTCTTTTCCACAGACACATCAATGTGGGCCCTGACTTTCAGGCAGACCTTCCTCCTTGCCTTCTGGATGGTGAATGGTCAGGCCTGTGGTTTTCAACTGAAGACCCCCCTCGGGAACAGTTGCTTTGGAAACCATGGGATGAGCTGCTGAGGAGTGCTCATGCACAAGACCAAGGTCAAGAGCGGAGCAGAACGCAAAATACCTGCTGTCACGGGCACAATGTGCTGTAGATTTATAGGGTCCTTGAGGCAGTCATTTTTGTGACACTTTTTTTGTGTTTATGTATTTGCAGTGGAGAAGCTGCTCACCATGTGTAATTCCAGCTGTTTGCCAGGAGGGGGCAGTAATACTGAGCTGGCTCTGCATTGTCTGCACCACTGTGAGGGAAATACCATGGTAAGAAGTGATCTTTCATGCAGTCATTCAGTTTTTCTGTGTATTTCATTATTCTTACATGCATCCTAATGTCCTCACTACTTGTTTGTTTATTTGTTTCTTTAATCCATTAAATCTTCCTATTTTGTTTGCTTCTTTAATCTGTTAATTCTTCCTATCTCCCTCGCACATAGGAAACACTGAAGATGCTGTTGTTTTCTCTGCCCTCACCAACAGGAGACTACCATTACTCAGGTGACCTCATTATAACTGATAACCTGAAATGTATTCCTGCTTATGAAATGATGTTTAAAATCAATAGAGCTTTAGGCTAGCAATACTGCTACTACTACTACTGATAATAACATCAACAACCTCAATAATAATATTATTATTATTAATGATAATAATATTAATAATAATAATGATAATTGTAATAAAGATACAGCATGTTTTCAATTAGAAGCCATCTCAGTTGTTCACCATGAAAAAAGAACATGATTAATTATGGGCCTTGAATGTGGAGAAGAAAACTTTGAATTTGAGTATATGTACAACAGTCTGCATTTCTACGTATGTGAAGAACACAAATCTGCAAAAAAGAAACCATTCCCATTGTATGTACAATAGAATGAATTGTTCAAGCCTGAAACTTCATCCACTTACACAAAATCCTCTCTCATTTAATCTACAAAGAACAACAGTATAAAGCAGACATTGTTCAGCCTTTTTCTGCACTCAGGTGGGTGTTTTCCTGTAGATGGGGGTAGTGCTGCACAGTTTGGTACCCTAACAACAGGTTAACTGAGAGTCTCAGATTCCTGGCATGTTTAAGGACTCTCTTCCAGCTTTCATATAGTAAATCGCTACAAGTAAAAAATACCCCCCTCCTGTCTATTGTTTGCCCAACACTGCTGTAATATCCTCGGGAATGTCTGCTTCCTAAACCAGGCCTAATTCATTCCATACAGAAGTAATTACATCCAAACTCTACACAGATGCAAATAAAAGCATGGAGCCACAGTGAATGTCCTCCGACCCATCACAGTCAGAAGAACCCCACATTGCTCTGCAGCACATCACGTTACTTCCCATTAGTCAAGCATGACACAATGACTTTGTGATATTCTTTTTGCAATGATTCTCACACCCTCCTCTCTTTTTCCCCTTTCCAACTCAGGTTGTGATTTTTGGACAGATACAGAAAAGAAGCTCTTCAATGTAACTCTAGAGACTCATGGAAAAGATTTTTCAACCATTGAGAAGATGGTAAAGCTATTTTCTATGTATTGATTGCAATTTGTATGGTACTCATTCATTGTTACCCTGTAAGTTATTAAAATCTATGCGGCATATGGCACATAGTTTGTTTGCTTTGTGCATTTTCAAATTAATTAGTTTTAATACTATTTAGCTCTACATAGCTTTTTACTGAGGTAAAAAGGAATTTTGATTGTGCAAAAGCATATACCAGAAAGTGAGGGATTTACAGCAGACTGCACAATTACACCAGTGAGTTGTACTTTATCTACTGTTCACTGCTGGGTCAAAGTGTTTTTTTTCTGGATCATTACATAAAGTCCATTACAAAGAAGCGAACAAGTGTTTTTTTCTGTATGCAACAGTATAAAAGACCCCCTGTTGCCTTAAATTGGAGAATTTAGGGTGACTATAGCCTGGTAGACTGGTAATCTACACTAATATGTGCTTCTTTATGTTACAGCTGAGAACCAAGACTGTACCTCAGTGTGTAGAGTTTTACTACTTGAGCAAAAAGCTGGATGACAAGCAGAAAAAACAAAAGGAGGACGAAACCAGAGAGTTGCAGCTGCAGAAAAGAGTAAGATTGCCATGTCTCGTCTGACACTTAGGCTTGCCTTTATTTAAAAGAATTTTGGCCAAACTCTTTTTGAATTCATTTAGTTTTTCTTCGTTTTGGGTAACTTTTCAGCTCATTAACTGAGATCTTTGGAATTAAAGAAGCAAAATAATGGAAGAAGTTAAACCTAAGGCTCAGTTGGATTATTTGTGTAGCCTTGTGCAACAAGTTGAATGCATTACATGATTATCCAGTGTGGAATGTTGCTCAACAAGACAATCAAAACATGTTAGCTCATGACTGGTTGCATTTTTACAGGTGACGCCCATCTCCCAGCCAGTGGAGAGTCAGATTTCACAGGAGGAGGTAGTTCCCCTGCCCTCGTTGACCAGCATCTTCCCCTGCAAGCTGTGTGGAAAGTGAGTAAGATCAGTGACATTAAAGGAAGTTCCCAAAACAGCCTGTGTTTGGCTGGAAGGGGAACCAACAGATGGTTTAGATTGCTCGGCCCTTTTAAAATTTCTGTCTTACTCTCAACCAGAATGTTCTATAAAATCAAGTCCCGTAACGCCCACATGAAGATCCACCGCCAGCCTCAGGAGGATTGGACTGACAGGCGGCTGCAGCACCAGCTCATCACGCAGCGTCTGGCCCTCAGTCGTCCCTCTAACCTCATGCCAAGTCCAGGAACTAATCTGCTCCCACCACAGGCCGCAACTCTTACATTTTCTTCCTCTGGTCTCTCATCAAGCAGCAACAGCAGTGCAGACAGTGTCCACAATTCTCTGAACAACAGCAACCCCATCGCTCAGGACAGGGCCAGTATCTTAAATCCCAGAAATACAATAACTTACTGCAACGGTGTCCCTTCCACCCCCCATGTAATCACCGTCAATAATATTGAAAGTGGTGACCCACACCAAAGAGAGCTGACCACTTTTTCACCCTTCCACCAGTCATGGGGATCTTTTGGACCGCCTCCAGACCTTGCAGCATTCTACTGTATCCAAGAAGGCAAAGAAAGTGAGACAATGGAGGGAAAAGAGCCAATCATCTGGCAGTAGTGTTTAAATAAAAAAGCATTATAACTATAAGTCTGAATCCACAGATCATATTTTGTGTTTTCAGTCAAACTGACTTTAAAAAAACTTCAGTACAGATTTCAAACTGTTTTTTTTGTTTTTGTTTTTAGAAAAGAGTGCTCTTTGTTCAGTTTTTGTTGTAAATGTGTTTATACTGTCGTTAAATGTGTTAATACGTTTTAAAATTGGAATAAAATTGGTGTCAATAAGTTTTTTTTGTATATGATCTGACACCCATTTACATCGATAACAATCGATGCATCTTTATGGCTAGCTGTAACTCGTGGTTTTTTATTCACTTGACCAGAAATGTACTGCTCCTCTCCACTGATATAACTACACTATACTCCAACGGGAATGATGTGTTTCCAAGAGTACAAACGTCTCCAATGCTTGCACTTTTCTATGGAATGAATTCATCAATGTAATATTTCCCATTTTCCATTTTTCTCTTGAAGAATTTAAATAGATTCTAATGAAGACATATTGTTAGGATCCATTGTGCCAAAAAAAAAGATGACAAGCACAGCCTGTTTAAAGGTTGATACAGAACAGCATAATGGACAAATATTGATCCTAAGAGATCGTGGTCTCACTTAGAGGTGCCAGAGTGCCCAGGGTAGCCTTGTTGATGATTAACTACAATGAATATTAGTGTGCCTGAATGAATGTGTGTTGTTACATTATGATTATGCCAGGATGAGGGCATTTTCAAAGAATTCCATGCAATTGTTGTGCTGTGATACAACAGAAAAGCAGGTATGAGTTGACAAACAGCTCTTTCAAAATACTTCAAAATTAAACTTTGACACCTGATTATCTATCCTTCACAAGATTCAACCCAGTCTGATTTAGAGTTTGTTCTTTGTCCTGGTGTTGCCATTGTTAATGGGTCCTCTGCATAAGTTTATCAGGCTGCAGATCATGTCACAAGGCGGTGAATGTCTTTGATCCTGTATCTTTGAGCTTCTACTTTGATAGTGATAACTCATCGCAGGGCTTTGTGCGTGGCTTCATTTTATTGATATTTCAGCAAGGTGTCCTGTAAAAAATTGCAGGTAATCAAATTCCCATCTATGCAAGTGCGCACATTTGTAATTTAATCAGTCTGTGTACAAGCATATTGACATAGTATGTGTGCCACAGATAAAAGTTATCTCTGGCCTTTAAAGTGCATTCTTCTCTGAAACACTCTCTCCCCCTGACAAAAGTCCACAGTTGGTCTGCCCTCCTTTTTGTCTGATGTCCATTATTTCAGATTCTTTATAAAACTGCTCCTCCCACTTTTGTGATATTGAGATCTTGTCAGCTGCAAACATGCTGAAGTGGTGTCCTCTTTTCTTGGACCTACTGTACATCTAAATCCTCTGAATAAGATGAAGCATTTCCCATAAGGGAATCATGAACTGTGCTGTCCTTATATCAAAGTCGAGTGAGAAAATAAACCAAAGTGGCAACCAAGAGAGTTCAGTGTTGGCCTTTCTGGAGGAGAGAAAGAGAGATGGGGTGTGGAAAAAGGGGGGAGAGGGACAGCAGACCAATAGCGGAGAGGGAAGGGAAACTGAAGAGTGAATAAACAGAGAGGTTACTGAGCAGCAGCCATTCACCTATTCAAAGCAAGCAGCTCTTTGCCAGTTGACTGAGCTTGTGCTCCAAGTACAGGCTATCCAATGCTGTCTCCCATGTGCTGCTTTCCGTTTTTTTCCCATACCAACAATAAACAACAGCTTTCTCAGTCACCTCATTGTTCTAACATTCAGGGGGGCAACACTTTTCAACACTTTTTGGTCCTGAGCCAAAGCTTGAAACAAAAGGCAACTGAAATGCAGCTCAGTGAAAATATACAACATATATGAACATGTCAACAGTGCTCACAGATGAAGATAGTCTTACTTTTTGCAAATGTAGCATTTCAAGTCAGTTTTCAAATTCAATGAATAAAAATCTGTCATATGGAAAAAAGCATTTGTAGACATCAGCTTGTTAGGAAAAAACAGCATCCAAAAAAAAAGTATTTTTCTGAAGTGTTGTAGATTTTCAGAAATTCCTTGACTCCTGTTTTGCCATTAAAAAAGAACATCAGAATTTTAGAGGGTGTGAAAATGCGGGCCTGAAATAATATGCTTTGCATATTTCAAAAATCAAAAATCTTCCTGTAATTTTTGCGACTAAATTTGACCTAAATGTAAACAATTTTGGACAAAAAACTGAAATGTAACGATGTGTAAGAAACCAGAGTGTGATTGAGATAACCACCATGTCATAGAGAGATTGGAGCTTATCTCAGCTGACATTAAGCCAGAGGTAAGGTAGACCCTGGACATGTTGCCAGTCCCATCACAGGGCCACACAGAGATGAACAACCACACACAATCACTCCTATAGGTCATTTAGAGTCTCTCATTAACGTAACATGCATGTTTTTGGATCGTGGGAGGAAGGGAGCACTTGAAGAGAACCGATACAAAACTCAGACAGGATTTAAAAACTGATTTTAGCTAGGTGAAAAGAAATATATTTAACTTGACCTATGTCTATTTCTAAAATTTGAATTGACATTAAAATATTCCCATAACAAGGGGCTTTGAAAATAGCAAGATTAGAAGCAAGGCATTACTGGCCAGGATTAAAGAGGTGGTGCAGTATCCTCACAGGATTCTTGAGATAAAAGCACAGTGGTCCATTGTCTACCTTACAAAGCAGTTTGACAAATCACTATTATAAGAGCCTGTAATCAAATCTTATCCTTTTCAGCTGTTTCCAGACACAGAGGTTCCCTCTTGTTTCACATCTCCTTAACTTTTTAAAATTCTTTTCTATTTCTTAACCTGGAGGACAAGCTCACATGAATTCTACATATAAAGCCAACTGCTTCCCTCCTCTTTATTCTTCAAGATAAACAAAAACACGAATTCACAGAGCAAGTTACACTTTAACACATCAGTGATGAGTTAAGGCCAGTAGATGGCAGAGGCATTTCAAAATGCTACAGATATAATTTTCCATGATAGATCCATGTGAATTTATGGATGTGATAAGGAAGTCTGTTAACTGACTGCTGTGTTTAGAAGTATTACCAAAGAAAATTTGCGTTTCACAACGGTTATGGTTTCTTTTTTGACATTGATAAAGTTCTTCCAATCATTATCCAAACATTTTCTACTCTTCACTGTATCCAGTGAGGCGAGGTGACAATGGTAACCACCAAAGCATCTTCTCACCTTTACTAATGTAAGGATACTCACTGGATCAGGTTTAATTAGTTTCTTTGTTACAATTAGTCTATATCTGTAGGGAATATCTGTTGCTGTTTTCATCTCATAATGGGCAAAGAGGACATGTTGGAGTGTAACACACTATTTGATACTGCAAGGGCCTTATAACATGTGAATAAACAAACAAACAAACAAGCAAACAAACAAACAAACAAACAAACAAACAAACAAACAAACAAACAA